CATTGTCCAGGGTGTATTGCAAAGTGAGCCTGACCATTTCGCTGTCAAGCCTAGGATTGGATGGTACCGTAGCACTACAGATCTCACCTCTCAATCTCAAGAACGATCGCGAGGATTGTGACACTGCTTCTCACAATTTACAACAGTATGGTGGACGAAGCGGTCAGGAACCGCAAACTTGCTAATCGTCAAGTCGTGGTGATAACGAAGATACTGTATGGTCAAGAGCACCATCGATTCCAAGTGGAGTTCAGAGCCCCCCGTCAAGCACCAACAGAGGTATCAGGCTCAAAATATTCCCAAAATCAGGACAATTGAACCTTGATTCGCACTTTGCTCACACATGCATTTCTACAACTGATCCCAAGGTACGCTGACAGTTCTCGGTTGGTTTTTTTTTTTTTTTTTTTTTTTTTTTTTTTTTTTGGTTGACCCTGGTGGTAATTCTGGCGGGTGTGCATTCGAGAAGGACGAGTCTGATATTAGAGGCGTTCAGGTGTGACGGTGACAACGCCGTCTTCCTCGGTCAAGTATTCTGCTTGTCATGAACCGAAATTCCCACCACGTCTGAAAGGTGAACCGCATACATCGCAACTGAGGGGTGAGAAGAAGAGGCCTGCACTAGAAAATGCTGTCTTGGTCGGCTTGTCCTTTCCCTCTCTCCTCGGTATATCCATGGATGGTGCGAAGTCGCGGTGGGGGCCAGAGGCTTTACGAAGAGGGGGCCAGGAGGAATAGCTGGAAGTGAGCAGTCAGATGTGAAAATAACTCGCCTCTGACTCCTCATCGATCGCATCAATTGAAATTGAAGAGGTTGAAGGCACCAAACTGGCAATCCGTGCTAGTGTTGTCAGAGCCGCAGCGACAGCGACGACTGCTAAGTGATTGAGCAAAGCAGAGGACGAGTGATCATCGCTACCTTCTCTGCTTGACCAAGGGACTGTCCCTGTAATAAGATGCTTTGTCAGTTGCGCTGCATCTAAAGTGTGGAAGCCGATGATCCTTACTTACGCGGGATCCCAGCTTTATAGCCTCCTTCTTTCCTTGTCCCTGCAACTGCAGTCTGTGACAACCGTAGATGCGAGTCGTATGTCTTGACGCAGGAGCTCTGGTGGGCCTCAGAGATAAGACCAGCGCCCCTGCCCCACGGAGGCAACCCCGTGTATTGCCTGATGCCATCCAAAAGGGCACACTGGCCAGGCGCAAGGAATGAGCACTGCGGCAAACAATACTTCGTAGGCGCGCACCGTCGCAGCACCTTCTGGCTGGGTCGCATTTCGGTATGTTGATCTCCCTTCCACGTGTCCACGGAAGGCAGTGTGCTCTTGGATGAGCATCTTCTTCCGTTTCTTTCCTTCCGCAAAAGTCAACCTCACCAGCTCAGCGCATCGTTGGGCGCTTTGGGTCCACCCTGCGTTGTGACCTTGGTAGGCTTGGCCATAGGCTCAACATGCGTCGCCGCCGCCGCCGCCGCCGCCTCTCCAACTGCGCTGTGGTCTGACTTGCGCTGCAGCAGAGCCAGGTGCTCATCAATACCCCATTTGCGCGTCTGCGCCTCGATGATGCTCGTCCACTTCTTAACCAGCGGATGCGCCTCCGCGACGTGTGAGAAGAGGACTTCGGCGTCGTCATTCTCATTGTCTTTGCCGTTGTCCTTGCTTGTTGCACTTGTTTCGCCGTCGACGTCATACTTCCACGTCCCGTCGGAGTGCCAGTAGGTCTGACCGAAGACGCTGCGCACGCCCAGCTCTGCGCGTGCGAGTGAAAGTAAGTGGCTCATCGCGTCTGGAGACTCTGCCGACGCCAGTTCCGAAGCATTGAGACTACCAGAATCAGCGCCAGTGCTACCACTGGCACGGCCCCCTGTCACAGCGGCCACAATCCCTTCCAGCATACCGAGGAGCTGGCCAACCTTGAGTCCAATCGTGGCGCCCAGGCTGAACCCTTCATCAAAGCCGGCCTGGATGCTGCTCGCTTTAGCGACCGTGATGCCATCGCGGTAGCCAGCGGTGACGTGCTCTTGCTGCAGACGGCGGATATCCGATGGGTGGCTGGTGTTGTCGTTGTTGCTGTTGTCGCGGTGGTCATCTTGCTGATTGTCGTTGTAAAACACGTCGTTGAAACCGTCATCGCTGTCATCGTCTGCTGCCCCGGCCCCCCCTCCAGTGTCTGTACCAAACACATCAGCGAGTGGATCCATGTGGATGATGGTCTCGTGGCTGCTGTCGCTGTTCTCGAGTGTGGTTGCGTCGATGCCGATTGAATTTGTTGCGTGCTCTGGGTTGGATTGTTTGAGGAGCATCTTGTCGTCCACAACCTTTTGCGCCGGGGGTAAATGAGCCTTTCTCGTCAACGTGGTTGCCGCCCAGTGGTGGAGTTGTCTCAAAAAATGGTAGCAAGCGCAAAGGGATGAGAATTCTAATCCTTGTGTTGATGAGAAATTCAAACTCCGGCTGGTCAGGCCTCGGACGGAATTGTCGATCATTTTTCGCCTCAACCCCTAACCCGCAAACCGTCAATTTCGACGACTTGTCCCGAGATGATTACTGATTTTCTGAAACTTACCTGTTCGATTTGATTTCTCTGCTGATCAAACTCTTCCGACGGATAATCAAAGTAGAATTTTAGCACGAGTGCAGTATTTAACTCTCACAGATGCCTGTTCTGGACCGAAAAGGCAATTACATCCAGCCACTCTTTTTGCTTATGCGCTAACATAAATCCACATAGGTTCCACCAAAACAGAGAGTGTTGCTGTATTGATTTGCCCAAGAACAATAATCTCAGTCCTATACATGAGCCAAAGCTCGAATGTTCTTCTCCGCTCACCCTCATAGGCCCTTTCACGAGGATCTCCCACGGAAATACCACAAATGATCCAAGGCAAGTAGATTGAACCTAATACCTGTACAGTCGAACGCCCTCCGTGTCTTCCCTCCCAGCCAACATCTTGCAGTTCATCCAGCCATAATACGCCCTCAAACCACCACAGCCAGCAGCAACCAAAAACAGCAAGCCGGCATTCGTCCAGTGACCCGTCGGATACCCAATCGCAGCTTCATCCGTTTTGTAGATCCATGTGCCCAGAATCTGACCCGGCGCACCGCCAAGGCCAATATTCAACGCAATCGCCAGCCCAATCGACGCCGTACTAAAGATATTTGACGAAAGCCACCCCAACAACGGCGGAATACACGCAAAAGCGCCCGCCGACGCCACAATTAGGCACCCATACCGCTGTGCATACGCATGGGGCGGCAGCACAGCAGAAGCAAGGAACCCGCACGCGCCGACGGTAGCGCTCACGGCAGAGTGCAGCGCGCGGGCATCAAAGTGATCCGCCGACCACGAGACGAGAATCTGCACCACGTATGCGACGGCATACGGCGGCACTGTCATGAGCTGCGCCTCGAGGTTCTTGTAGCCCAGCCCGGCGGTGATGGACGGCGTGAACAGCGACAGGCTGCTAAAGGGCGCCGAAATGCCAAAGTAGATGGCGTAGTGCGCCCACAGACGCGTGTCGGCGAGGGTGGCCTTGGCGTCCTGCCACCAATTTGCGTTGGTGAGGCCTTTGCTGCCTTCGACGCGGAGACGGCCGAGGGCGAGCGCGCGCTCGTCTTCGGTGAGCCAGTGTACTGTTTCCGGGTAGTCGGGCAAAAGGAAGAGCACAAAAAAGGCAGAGAGGCACGAGGGAGCACCTTCGATGATGAAGAGCCAGCGCCAGGCTGAGAGACCGTGGCCTTGGTTGATATGTCCTACGCCAAAGGCAATAGCTCCGCCAAACGCACCAGCGAGGGTGGCACTGGCGAGAATTAAGGCGACGCGGATGCTGCGCTCGTCGGACTTGTACCAAAAAGTAAGGTAGTAGACCAGACCAGGGAACAAGCCTGCCTCAAAGACGCCGAGGAAAAAGCGGAGGACAGCCACGGTGGCATAGTTGTGGGCTCCTGCGAGCCCCATGCCAATGGCTCCCCAGCCAAACATAAGAATAGCGATCCAGCGAGACGGCCGCAACTTTTTGAGAAGGATGTTGGAGGGCGCCTCGAACAAGCCATACGCCACGAGGAAGATCATCAGTGAGATGATGTACTGGTAATCTGTCATGTGCGTTTCTGACAGCAGGTCCTGGTGCTTGGTTGCATTCAATGTCTTTGCGTTGCCAATGTTGCTGCGGTCGAGATAGCAAAGTAAGTATATGCCCGCAGACAGCGGAATGATGCGCTTGTCTTGTTTCCAGATGAGCGCTCGCTCAGCTGCTGGTGATATGGTCACATCTGAGGCAGGGTAGGTCTAATGTGATTGTTGTCAGCTTTCGATGTTTGCCTTGTATCTCTAGGCCTCCTCATAATGAGTTTTATCAACACGTCGTAATACTTGCCTCCTTGAACTTGGACCCTGCCTCGACATCCTCAACAACGGCGTCTCGCGACCGGGGCTGCTCAGCCTGAGCTTCGTGTACAATCTTCTCCACCTCCATTCTCGCCTCTGGCCTTTCGCAATACAAATCTGCTGAAAGGGCAAATAAATGCACTTGTCGAGTACAGACTCCCAACAAGAAGAAGCGTTACCAAGAGTCGAGATCCAGGGCTTTTGGAAGGAGGAGAACCACATATGCGAGTGAACTAGACGCGGGAATCAGCCATGCGGAGGAAGATACCGGCACCCGAAGCCAAATATCAATTCACCCTTGGGCTCCAGAGCAATCACGCATAACTTCGAATATATGTGGATATGCAGAGGCACGTTGGCTGTCTGGGTATCTATCTACTTGTCGCCTACCACTTACAGTGTGCTCCTTCCCCCACCTGACCGCGGGGTTTCGCCGGATCTTCGCATCTGGCGGTGTGCTTGACCAATTTGTGCCTTTCACCATCTGCAACCAAAAACACATGTTAACCATATGAAAACAAATCTGCAGCGTCCGTCAAGCAGCATATTTCAAGATTCGGCAAGAAAAAAATAAAACAAGGAGCCATGGAACGACAAAAAGCCAAAACATATGGACACATAGGGAATCGAACCCTAGACCTCTCCCAATTCCTGATGACTAAACAGCCATGCTAAGGGAGTGTTATACCACTAAACCATGCGCCCACTTCACTTGTGTTATCAGTCAGGAGATGATCAAATTATATACTACAATTACAGAGCTGTTCCCATATTAGCGTTTCTTTTTAGCACATAACATTTGATCTATATACTCTGCTACTCAGCTACTTTCCATTTACTTTTTTCTTTGCTCTATACCAAAATCGCAAGTCTGGTTTATTACAAATATTTGTTTCTCAATTACATTATCTCCATAATTAAAGCTGTGCAGGAGGTATGCACAAATCACCTGCGAGCAAAGTGTTGTATCATTAAACCATCTTTCCACTTCATCATTTTGTTATCGTTGGTAATGGTAAGTGATCTGTACACTCTATTGTTTCAGCTACCGTCCATTTTCTATTTCCTTTACTCTGAATAACCTTACCAGATTCGCATGTCCGGTTCATCAGAAACATATTTCCCAATAACATCATTTCGGCTCTCAAAGGAAGGTTGATTAGGTAGAAGGCTGTGTACAAAAATATTACGGAATATGGGAAACAAACGACAGAAAGTAGTGAACAGTTGCGGGCTATAGCTACTATCCAGGAATTTGAGGCCGACACTTAATCCTTGTAGCCGGTGATTAGTGGTCTCGGGCTCAGGGAAAAAGTGAATTCAGGCCTACAGAAGCTGCAGCACCGAACAATATATAAAGCTCACCACAACCACTAAATAGTTTCTGAACAATATATGCGCTTTCTCTTCTTCTGATCTGAACCTCCCAGGCTTTCAACCGCCGATAGACTGTGGCGGTGGGAAATCAGGGAAGGTTACAGTGACGTTTCGGATGGCAGCAATGGCTTTATTGCCCTGGGAATAAACAGATAAACAGGTTATTGGGGATGATATCGCGGGGCATAATGCCCATGGCATGTAGGGTGCAAAGTCCCTCGAGTACTTAACGAAAAAGGACCAGCTTTGTAAGAAGACTGATTTGCTCTCAAGGTGCACTAGTGAAAGTTCAGTTGTGAACCCGTATCATTCCACATGATAGGGTAAGCCCTCTTGATCACTTATGACACTTGATATTGCTCAACAACATACAACAGACCTAAAGGTAATACTTCTGAGGTTGCTAGTGGCACACAGATACACAAGAGATCAAGGCTTCAGTACTACTGAAGTGCGTAGATCTATTAGTATATATATGGGTGTTGATTGCTAGAGAGAAAAGTAAACTACGTTACGTTGCAAACGGGATTCGGAGGATTAGTTGCAGCCGTAGGCTGCAACCCGCTTATATAAGCGGATCCTTAGTATCTCCTTTCTTAACTTAATTATCCCGATCAATCTTCTTTATACGATACTTTATAATACCTATAATCCTATAGTAAATTATACTTATCCCTAATATCGTTTAAGTACTATAAACGGAACGTCTAGAAAGCTATCGCTAACTTAATGTTACGGGCTGGCCCCTGTGGGGCTCTAGGAACTGGCTAGCGCCTACGGCCGAATCCGTGATGTGCGGAACCTTTCGTTATACGCCGTAAGGCCAAAAGGTACGGAATCTTCTAAGTATTGCTTAGAAGACCTAGCCAGCTTATATAACGCTTCAGGGGCGGGTGTTGCTTCCTGCTTATATCACTAGAGCCTCTAGCCTGTAACACTTAATATCTAATAATACTGTTAACTAACTTAAAGAGAAGAAGAAAAAGGTAACTATTTATAAGTGTTGTAAGAGTAGATAAATATCTGCTCTTAATATATTATAGAGTTCGATAAAGTTTTTCGTATATTAATAGGGAAATACTTGTTAACGGCTTTGGCCCCTGGTGCGCTAAAGCCGTTAATTTACCCTTATACCCTATAATATTTCCCTTGCTCTCGCTCGTAAATAGCTTCGTTTTTTATTATCTTTCTTTTTCGATTTTTAAAATAATACGTATATAATATAAAGCCCTTTCGTAATTAGCTATACCTAATAAAGAGCTTTATTAAAGCCCCTTTTAAAGCTATAATAACTAGCTAATCCGGGTTATTTATTAAAGTTCTTTTATTCCGGTGTTATAACCCACGACCTTGCAGGTCACAGGAACAGGCCAACGCAATATAGCATAAGATCGGAACCTCAACGGACCGACAGGATTTCTTATATAAGGTTACGCACGGGCCAAGTATAACATAATACAACAGGCCAATCAGGAATAGATTATTAGGATTATGAAATAATCTAAGTAAGCCGGATCATCAGGATCGTAAGATAATCCAGAAGAGCTATAGGAACAACAGAAGGATATAAGGACAGGAGTTCGGCACTTTAATTTAGATAGTTTCCTTATAGTCTTTAGTTATAAATCTAAGCATCGTTCTTAAGATAAGTAAATCTCTTTAAGAATAGATAGGGTAATCTCTCTTAATCTATTATATCGATAATCGGTATAGATAGCAAATATACTTAATATTATTTAGTACGTAAACTAAAGGTAATACCTCCTTTATCTACTAATATATAATTTACAGAGACTTCTAATATTAGGGATATAGGTAAGGATTATTATATTTTTATAACTCTTATTTAGAACGGTTTATATATACCCTTTAAGTAATACTAAGTATAGATATAGCTCCTTAAACTCCTATTTTATCCGCCCTAGCTTAGCGCAAGCTTATAGTAGAATAAGTTATTTAGGAACTTCGCAATTTCTAGTAGCGTATTACTTAGATAGAAGTATAGATCGAGTAATAGAATATAACTATTATAACCTAAGAATAGTAAATTATATCTTAAGAAGAATAACTTACCGATTAGTAATAGCAGCTTATAACTTAGGTACTATACCTTATATAGTATAATAACGACGGTAATACTACGATTACTAATATTCACTACTATAACTCTAACGGCTATAAAATGGATAAACCCGCTATATATAATAGTAACTAGAAGATACTTTAGGGGTTTCTTACCTATTATAAGGCGTACTTTCTATATAATTAAAACCAGTTTACTATAGAAGCCGATAAGTTAGTCTTAGCCGGAATACGTCTTAAGAAAGACGCTCTTATTTAGTACGAACCTTCGCTTTATAACTACCTAGAGTACCTTAACAACCCTAGAGAGCGTAAGTAGGCTATTAAAGATATATTTAATTCGTTCGCAGGATTTAAGCGGATCCTTAAGGAGATATTTAGGGACCCTAACGAAGAATAAACTATCGTATAATAACTTATAAAGCTTAAATAGATAAAGTCAGCTTTAGCCTATACGGTTAGTAAGCCAGATGGGGTGCTCAAACAGTAAAAATGGTCGGTTGGTAAGGCGGGTACTGGCTATAAGCAAGCCCAAACTAGGTCTCCTCGTCTATAGAATAACCTCTGATCAGAAGCTATAGCAATAGCACTTAGGCGATAGGTAAAGATTCGTCGAGTAAGGTGAGGAGAAGTGTAGATTCGTATGGAAGTAAAGGGTTACAGAATAGAGAAAACTTGGGTAGAAGATCAGTAACCGTCCTAGATTTCCCAGCAATAGTCTATCGGTATAAGGGAAACCTAGGAGGTTCTATTTAGAAGAAGAAGAAGCGTATATATTATTCAGAAACTATCTAGTGGTTGTAGTGAGGCTTTTATAGTGTTTGGTATAGCAGTTTTCAGTAGGCAAAATCCACTTTTCCCTAGACCCTGGAATATTAGGTTTAAGCAACTTTTAGTACGACTACTATAGGAAGATACTAGTCTTATAGAATACTATTATAGAGGATTAAAGGATAAAGTTAAGGACGAAATCTCTAAGTAGGATTAGCCGGAAAGTTTTACAATATTTACTAATAACGCTATCCGTATCGATAATCGCCTCTATAAGCGGCGAATAGAGAAGAATAAGAAAGGAGGAAGTTATACTACCTAGCGAGTAATAGCTAATACTGCTAGAAGGATTTAGGCACCCTAGCGTACTAGTTATAGGTTAATAGCGCTTAGTAATAGTATATATATAGGCCCGATAGAGCTAGACGCTACTAATCGGAAGCCTATAAATAAGGAATGCTTTAATTATAGCAAGAAGGGCCACTTTATACGAGAATATTATTAGCCTAAGAAAGAACGATAATTCTAACTAATACCCCTAGGACGATAGGCTAGTAAAGCCTTATAATAAATTAATATAATAGTAAGAAAGGATATTTCTACTCCTAGCTAGGATAACCTTCTAGAGTAAGCGTTAGACGATATTCCTTATAGACTCCTTTATTAGACGGTCTATTACTAGGATAATTACGTAACGCACCTATCGGTAAAGGAGGGCTTAGGATAGTATCCCTAGAAACCTAGAAATAAGGAAGACTAGGATAATATTTCGGAATATTCCTCGGAACTAGATATTCTCCTAGTACAACCTCTTACTAGGGAGTAGGCAATTATTATAGGAGAATACCTAGAATTTAGAGACGATAGTATATAAGTATCTACTATAGGATAAGATACCCCTATAGATACTACCTTAGAGGCAGATATAGAAGACGCCTTAAACCGATAAAACGCTAAATTTATCGTCGAAGGAATAGCCCTCCGAGATATTTTTAGAAGCGTTACGGTTTATAACTATATAGTAATATAAGGCGAAGATCTACGAATTAATATACTTTACGAATAGTATTATTTACTAGTATAGTTTTTATATATTTACTTTAACTATAGAATATACTTTAGCCTTAAAGCTTAGAACGAATAGTTTCTAGTTCGACGACCGGAGTACTATATTATCGCAATTACGGTTAATAACGATAAATACTACGCCCCTATCGATATTAGAAAGTTATATATATATATCGGACTTAAGGATAACTACCCTAGGGAATATACGGAGAAGTACTATAAGTAGTACTAGTATAAGATACTAGAATATATAATTTACGCCCTAGAGAAAGCGCGGGATTAGTATAGAATTAAGATTTAACAAGAACGGCAATACGCTATACGTATTAAAGGAATAACTAAGGCTAAGGAATTCGCCTAGTTAGCAGCTCGTAATATACGCGATATACCGAAAGCGTACCTAAAAG